ATTTTTGAGAGGAAAAAAAACTTAATTTAAAAAATAGAAATACGGATTTAAACTTCATGACCCTTGCTTCAAAACAGTGTAAAGTTTTTGGCCGCATGCATGACCGTAGAGCTGACATTTAAAAATGTATTCACGTTAGTTAATTATCAGCCGCGCCGATTTTCAGAACACGTGACGCTAAAACAAACACAATGTTCACAAAATATTAATAATAGAAAAGTACAAGTCAAGGGCTTTCCAAACATATATAGATTGTATAGGTTCTTGTAAAATTTACTCCGATTATAGATGTTTACATTTTTCATCTCGCTAATGGAAGAACATTTTATTCTTGTGGATCACAACATTCCTAAACAGTGTAATCAAATGTGCGAGTAAAGAATATATGCCACTGTGAAAGTTCCACAAAAGTTGAAAAGTGTGATGTCAGTTCACAGTCGAAGATACAGCACATCCTTCAATTTTCACATTCTGATCATGTTCATGTTACAAACTTTTTTGCTGTGATTCTGTGTCTTTGGGTCTCCATCGTAATGTTTATTCTTTTGTTTACATATTATATTTTTGATGCTTGAAAAAGCCCATCGAGTTGATGCTATGTATGACTTCATTATTAAAATTAATCAATGAATATTGTTTGTTATTGTAGAGAGGAGATTATGCTTTCCATGGCACTGTATGAATCACCTGTCGAGTACAACACAAGGACATCGCTAGATTTGAAGAGAATCGTTGAAGACCAGTGGCGGAAGGAGCTACAGAAGAAACTAGACGAAGAAGAGAAATTTAAAGAGAAAGAACTGGAAGAAAAACGTGAGCAAGAAGAAAAACTACAGAAAGAAATTGAAACTAAGCGCGAGGAGAAACTTAATAAGAGAAGTCATTCTGCAAAAAGCTCTCATAAATCCAGTCACTCTGTAAAGTCTCCATCTGTCTAAAGTGGCATCTTGTTCCCAGAAATACTTTCTAAATGTAACATCAATAATATGCGCTGTACTGTTTATGTTTATTATAAACCACTCCATCTTTATTTGTGTAATTTTATGTACTTATGCAAATGGAAATTACCCTTTTTTGATTGCATTGTGTTTAAAATATACAGTTGCAGACAATTCAAATTTTGGTTGAAGATATTTCTGCAATGCATGTATTGAGAGACGATATATTAACTTTGTTTTGATAGCAGAAAAGTTTCTAATAACAAATTATTACATTTTATCACATTTTTGTATACATATTGTAATTATTGTGAATATTTTTTTAATGAGCAGATCTCATAAAATGTGTATATTTTCTGTTTTTACACTCTCTCTGTATATCATATCATATCATACCCTTGTAATATATAAGTTTATCAAATAAAATGGCCTGTAACTTCTGTACCCTGAAACATTTATATTGCTTGAGTTTCTGTCAGAGTTCAAGACAATACAGGCGTAACTTAACTTTCTAGCTGGCCCTTGGCTGGCTGCATCTTCATCAAAAAAAACTTCTATTGTTTAACTTAATACTAGTATCATTGTCATCAATATTTTTAACCCTTTGAGCAACATGAAATATTACAAACATTTTCAATTTTTTGATCCAAAGCTAAAAGTATTGTCACAATTTGTCTACTTTTCAAATTTAAGATTTGAAATTCACTAGAAGTTGCTAAAATTGTTAACCAATTTACCTAAATATGAGCAGGATAAAAATGTGGTAACTCAAGAAGTTCATATTCTTTATCATGCATGGAACGTGCAGTCTTTTTGATTCATACATTAAAATATATATTCATATTAAAAAAACTTGTCAAGTACAGAAAATATTTTTACAGTGCAGTCTGAACTATTTATTTGTACTATGCATGTTAAAAACTTGACCACGGTGTGTCTTAATGTTCATACAACAGTTTAGGACTATTAATTAATGACTGCATATTTTATGTACTTGTACACGGTGTTCCACAGTAGACTTAGAAAGAGTAATCAAGCAAAAACATGTCAGTTTGCAGAACAAACTACCACAATCACATTTGGAGCTTATGTTAAAACTTTGAATCCACTTTCACTCAGACTTTCCATAACTCGCACAGGTATATCCAAACTGCATACTAAGGCATCAGCAGAGTTATTTCGTTTCAGACCAATTTAACACTTCCCCAAATCATTACTAAATAATTGAACAAAACCAACAAGCAGTGATGATATTAAGAAATCGGTTGTGAAGTCTGTATGTGTTCCACAGCACATGTAGATCTTGAAACCAAAAAAGGGTATTACTTAACATTCCTGTGATTTCCCATTGTGCTGCTCGTGATCTTGATGTGTTTGTGACATGTCAAAACACCAAGGTCACACATAAATATAACGTCACTATCACTACGAGTTTTGCATAATATGTATTAACCTATGTTACTAATATAGGAGATAACTTGCTCAACATTTAAATATATCTAGCTAAAGCTAAAGCCATCAAGAATCTAGCTTAATGCTAAGTTATACTTTGTATGTGCTGTCCATGTAACATAAGAGATGATCGGTTAGGGTTAGAAATCTTTTCAAAAGTTAGGTTCTATTGAAATTTCAAGTCATGATACTGTCTCAGGCAAAGTTCATGACATGTACTGTCAAAAAAAATTTTCCACGTTGTTTTCCGTCCAATAAAATGATGTTTCATTTTTTACTGCTATTGGTTTTTTAGCTATCGACTGGACAAAATATGGGGTTAACTCTAGATTAGATGCACATAATCAAGTTTTCATCTGCACATAATCAAGTGATTATAGACCAAGTTCAATGTGTTCATGGGCTAAAATAAAGTTGTACGAATCTGGTCAAGCTTGGAATATTGATAATTTTTTTATAGCTGTTGAATGACTGAATCACATTAATTTTAAAGAAAGTCTGACATCTTTAGTCCTTGTTTGGGCGTGGATTGGATTTGTAATCTCACTTCTGTGTATTTAAGATTATTAACACCTGCACATATGTCTATGACATGCTTAGGTCGATAACATTCAAACCATTGCTCACACGCAATACGCCATTTGTGTCATGATCCAATTCTGAATGGCAGCCATTTTATTTCTAAAGTTCATTAAAATCAATGGCATTTCTGTACCAGATCTCAACCATGTATAGATTGCATTAAAGCTTATTTCTCATAACAGATTCAAAATGGCCGACTGGCTTGTCATTTTGTTTTAATGATCGATCACGGTTTTACTATATATACATATACACCATACATGATGTTGCATTTACTCATTCGGTGATATGATTCAAAATGACTGCATGGCATTGATTCTTTTGTTTTATGTTCCCATGTAAACATTTTGTTATCATCCTCCACACATACGTGTATCGTTACGCATTTTTTTAGTTCTTCTGTTCAGTTTTTTCAATAGCCATATATTTCTATTTTCCGGGAATTTGAACTATGTAACCTAAGTCCAGAATCACCAATTTGTACGTCAGCTCTGTTGGAATATTGTCTCCACCAACACTTTTGCTGAAATTCAATTTCTTCATTGTTTCTCTAACTTCATTTATCAATGTCTCAATTGCAGTAGCAAACATTTCTGTAATCGCCTCAACTGAATAGAGTAAGTTCCTACAGTATTCCTTCATCGAGCTTTAACATAATTGTCATCTTTCAAAAAGTTACCGTATTTATCATCATTTATCACTTTTGATGGATTCTCGCATCAAACACAACATTGCTTCTTGTTTTCACATTTTGAAAATGTTAAGTTCTTATGTGTGCTGTATTATTTTCTAATATCACTGCCTCAGTACGCAGGCTGGACCTCCTCCACTCTCTTCTTTTATGAGGATGGAAGGAGCAGTCTCGGTGCTGTGAGATCCCACTGACCAGTTGGTACAGGTGAAGACTAGCAACCCATTTTGGCTTCTGCAAAGGGCAAGCGGTAAGGACCCAAAGCTGAGAAAACGTAACAACCAAAGTCAGAACCCACTGGACAGAAGTAGTCAGGAGGCAAGTGTCCTGGCTGGAAGTGTCCTGGAGGGAAGAGTGATGACGCGCCCCAGGAAGATGGGGCCAAGTGGTGGTCCCCCCTTCATTGACGGTCACCTACCTAGCTTGCAGGGAAAGCAGGTTTGATGCTTCCGCTTGCAATTAGGGGGATGGGCGGGAGGCATAGTCGGAACCTATCCACTTTTACAGGCCTAACATTGGTGGAGGAGAGATCACCCCTGATGTGGAACCGCCAAACCCATACATCTGTTGCACTGATTGCATCGGTGTATTCTGGTTTGGAGGCAGCGCGTGACCGATCCCTGGACTCTTTAGATGGCGATACATGGTTACAAGATCCTGCTGCAATCTTCACCATCCTGGCACCAACCCTCATTTGAGGTACTACCAGGGGACCCCTGCAAAGTGGGAACAATCCGACAGGAGGTAGATAGTTTGCTTACACAGGGCGCTATACACAGGATAGGGAACCCCGCATTGAGTCCGGACTTCTACTTGCAGGTATTTGTGGTTCCAAAGACTACAGGTGGCTGCGCCCCATTCTGCATTCGAGCAAACTAAGTAAGTATGTGCTTCATGGAAATGCCGAGCACCGCATTAGTTTCCATGTTCTAATTTCTACTTGTTAGCCTGCACAGCAGCACATTATACCAATACATCCAGTGAGAAAGTGACTTCCTCAATTTGCCCAGTTGGTCGCCCAAATAGTCAAGTGCTTACCTCAAGCAGGCGGTCACCTTGGACCCACTCGCCATTGGCTATGACTCTGGAAACAGATGCCTTACTCACATGTTAGGGAGCGCACCTATTGGACGACCACACCCAATGGAAAATATGGCTCCTGTGTTAGATTCAGAGCTTCCATATCAACTGGCTGAAACTGGAAAAACTGTGCTTAGCACAGATTCATCTTTCTACCCATAGTTCAAGACCACAGAGTCTTGCTTCGCATGGACAACACAGCAGTGGTCCCTTTTAGTGACAAGAAGGGGGAGCAGATTCCCATCGCTGTCAGTTCTAGCAGTGCAAATTCTCCTTTGGTACCTGCAATACATGTGGAGCTAGCCACATAAACCTTCCGGGGCCGCGAAACAGTCAAGTTGATGCCCTCTTGTGGTGGCTCAACTCCAGAACGCGGAGTGGCGGATACCCCTGACTGTTTCGGCGGTGGGACAGCCCAAGGTTAGACCTATTCACCTCACCCCAGAACACCAAGCTCCCGACCGACGTACACAACACACCTGCCGACTCCAGGAGCCTGGGCCAGGTACACTTTGTCAACCCCGTGGACCCACATGGACGTGTATGCCTTTCCTTCCTTCATGCTATTCATAGGGTACTGGAGCAACTTCGACAGGAGCGCATCTGCACTTTGACGTGGGTGCCGCCCACTGCTGTTGGAAATGTTAGTCAAACACCAGGGGTGCTTCCAGACTTCCAGATCTGCACTGCACTGCCTTTAAGCCCAGCGTTGTACCACATATACACATTGAGGCTTTCAGTTGACTGACTCAGACTTTTCTGTGTGGGCTACCAACATCCTGGCCAGGGCAAACGGGGATCCCACCAACGCAGCATATGCCTCGAAATGACCTGCATACACTGATTGGTGTAGTGGAAGGGAGATCCATGACATCCCTCTGTTGGCCAGGCAGCTGACTTTTTGTCCATCGTTTGGAAGAAATGGACTAGTCCTTCCGGCGATTGTTGGTTTTAGGTCAGCCTTGTAACCCACCATTGAAACTCCTAGCCAGTTGCCATTCTGATAATAACCTTAATTTCACATTCTGACACAACTCATTTGTTCTTGTACATTTACTGTAATGTCATTACTCCAGTTTGCAACTGGATTTTCGTTACATCATGATTAAATATGGACTGGTTCCTTTAAACATTTTTATCACAGATCATACCATCTTGAATTGTAATTCAAGACGACGATTTTCAATCATCAATCCCTCTGAAGATATACCGCCACTGTGGATATGGATACTTAAAACACATTAGTATCAATTTACTATGATTATTATTACTTCAATAAGATATGACGCATACACTTATATTACAAAAACAACCATCTTGATTTCTTTGCTCTACTACAAAAAATATGTTAGAAACATAACAATTTTCAGTTAATAATAAATAATGTGACCCATCTATATCATACTGGGCAATATATAAACCCATGTCGCTTTACAAATCTATAGCATCTATCAAAGCTGAAACTGGTTCACCAATCACTTAATAGAAGGTCACTGTTATAGTCGAATATTCTCAAAGTATGTTTATTATAATCCGACCGCAACTGAATGTGGAATGTCATTATCCAAATAATTTTATATATACCATGCACATTTATAAAGGCACATATCATCATCGTCATCTAATTAACATATTTCAAACATTCATAATGTTAATGAATAATAAATTAGGGATCTGTATACGAGTATATCTAATTATAAATGTCCAATCATTAAAAAGCTGCATTTGTTTGAACAGATGTCAATCCGCCCAGCTATACTGTCACAACTTTCATGACAATGTATAACACGATTATATTACAGTGACGGAATACTCGATAACAGGAACCTGTTTTAGCACAGACCATCCACAATGACGGACCAAACCATATACACTAATGAGTTTTTACAAGCAAGGTCTAAGCGTATACTGAAGACGTTTTCTTTTTTATTTATTTTCTCAATTGGGATTGGAGTTGGATTATATTTCATCGATATCAACATAAAAAGAGGTACAGTATTTGTGATGTCATTAACATAGCACCACACCTTGTTTTGCCTTTTAAAAACTGGGTAGTATTCAATGCAAACAGTGTGTACATTATTCTGAGATGTGAAACTACAACCATGCTATATGTCAATGTTTAAGCTCAAAACTGTTAAAAGCTAAAACTACTATTAAATACAACACATCGATTCTAGCTAACATGTTTATAGTTTGGAATTTTGATCACATTCCACATCTAGAAAATAGTTGACTGGACTAAATACTTAATTATTCTTTGTTGAATAAAATGTAGTTTTTAAGTGGTTTTTGTTCACGTAAACATATTCACAATTGACTCTCCATCCAACTATAGGTGGAAGGGTTCATTCTATGCGAACTCCGTTTCCTGTTACTAAGAGGCAACACATCCATATCGAATTAAGTACGCCGTATGAACACCCGACTCATAGAACGTATGTGGAAAAAACGATGAACCCAACGGAATGGGCAACTACTGAGTCAAATACCTTAGTTCCCGATACTGATACAGTGAATTCCCAATCTATCAGCAACATATCAGGCACTACATATAGATACAATAAGACTCGTCCACCGTGGTACTCGCATATGGAAACAGCGAAGACAGAACCATCTGCAAACTTTGCTGACACCACCTCGTCGATATCTTCTATTGTGACTATGGATACACACCCAATTCCCACAACAGTCGGTGAGCTTAATAAACGTGTATAATAATTCGATCTTTCATTAATATTTATCTTCACACACTGACATCAATGAAACATTTTTATGTTGGTGCTTTTAAGCATGGTGATCAAGAATACCACGAAACGTTTTATCCCACCTGTTCAAGTTGCTGAATGTTAACTTGCACACTCCCAAAATTTTGCAATCATGTCATTATATTAAATAACGTATGCAGTGTTGCAATATTGGTGGTAGCTTCATCGTTACTGGACGGAGAGAATTGCTTTTTGTTGCCTTGCTTGCACAACATCATATCGTCTTGACATAGTGTCACTCCTCTCGCTTCTTCTCAGTCTCGCCATCTTCATTTTGACATTGTGGGGGAGTCAATTTGTGATGAAATTGAGTTTTATGTAGAGCCGGTGCAAATGCACATGCACGCGTAGATAGTACTGTTTCCTGTCTTCGCCCACCATCTTTATAATAAGCTAGTATTGATCCATAATTGAAACAGAAAAAAAAATGAAAAAAAAAAATAATCAAATCAATCTATTACCACATGTATTACTATTATTTTAGCTTGTTTATCTACTCAGTTTCAATATAGTAATGGCCACTGTATCCCATCGGTTTTACGATGTGATGGAGTGAACAACTGCAATGACGATTCAGATGAAGTAGGTTGTCAAGGTAACCCTTTCAGGCATTCCGGTTTAATCTGTTTCATAGTTCCGACGTAAACGGCTAGTCGATGACATATAACCAATGTCATACCCAAAAATGCATTTTTTGTATGCATAATCTGTCTTATTTCATCCCATACTATGTTTATAAAATTAGAATGTGCTTTCGATGAGTTCACATGTGACGATGGAGGATGCATACCGCTTCCATATTATTGTGACAATCTGTTTGATTGTAGGGATTACCCTGACGATATTAACATAGTTTCACTCCACTAGCTTGTGATGAAATTGAGTTTTATGTAAAGCCAGTGCAAATACGAACATGCACGCGTAGATAGTACTGTTTCCTGTCTTCGGCCACTATATTTATAATAAACTAGTATTGACCCATCATTAAAACAGAAAAATAATAATCAAATCAATCTACAATTACCACATGCATTACTATTATTTCAGCTTGTTTATCAACTCAGTTCCAATGTAGTAATGGCCATTGTATCCCATCGGGTTTCCGATGTAATGGAATCAACAACTGCAATGACGATTCAGATGAAGTTGGTTGTCAAGGTAACGCTTTCAGGCATTCCAGTTTAATCTGTTTCATAGTCTCGACGTAAACGGCTAGTCGATGACATATAACCAACATCATATCAAAAAAATGCATTTTTGTGTACGTATAATCTCTCCTATTTTATCCCATACTATGTTTAAAAAAGTAGAATGTGCTTTCAATGAGTTCACATGTGACGACGGAGGATGCATACCGATTCATTATTATTGTGACGATCTGTTAGATTGTCGGGATTACTCTGACGAAATTAACTGTGACAGTAAGTGACAATTGAATTACTAGTAGTTATCATCTTTGAGTAGCTGTGGTGTAAATGCAAATATTAAAGATATGTAACTACACAGGTTTGTTCAATATAATACCGTGCTGTGTCATATTATCTAAACAACACTTATTCACAACTTCTAAAAAGGTATACGATATTTTCTGGTGATGCAAATTGTTATGAATTAGAATTAGATTTGCATTTCTCTTCCAAAATAAAACAGATGTAAGTTCAAAAGCAGTGAAATAACATTGGGAATCACTGCTGTTATCAGGCAACAATATTGCCTGTTGGAGTTATGCATAACGTCAATTGGACGACAAAACACATATTGATATTCAAGAAGACCCGGATAAGAACATAATTTTTAACATTGCTTTGATTTGAATTTCACTGCTAAGGACATATGTTCTAGTTATGAATATTGACCTTACTAATATGGAAATGAGAAACACAATTTAATATTGAGTAAAGCACTATACTAATAAAAAATGCAGACAAAAATGTATTCAATTGGATAGTATATTTTCGGTGGCACTGGAAATGTCATAACTATATATACGAGCATGTTTTTTGCGTTTATATAAAAATTGTCCAGCACACAATTTTTTTCTAGGTGGTTGGCCCGTCATTTCCAATTATTAGTCAAAAGAGATGGACGGCGTCTGTAGGAGAGTAAAAACCACATTATATTTCTTAACAATAGTCATTCCAGATATATCTATAATTCAAGCCATATATACTATTATCCTGACGAACATACCAACATAACAGTACGAGTTTGCATATTGCGATATTCAAAGAAGCTTTCACTGCTACTGTAGCGCAATGTTCATAAGACCAAATTGCACTTGCATTTAGACGCATTTTATTAGTATGAACACTTCAAATATTGATCACCTTGAATGAGTATTCTTTGGTGAAACATCAACATATATTGAATATTTCATGTACGTGTTTACAAGCAAACATTGACCAATCTTTAACATACTGCTACGCTATATTGTTCAGGGCAATTGGATACATTGTTTGTAAGGTTTTTCTTTTATGAATGGGTTAGTAGAGGCAACTGAAAAACATCGCGCTATATCACTCATGTTATTGTTACCATGTAGTTGTCATGAAATGTATTTTCAAATAGTTCAAGCTAAAATAACCTTTATTTACGTGACACCTTACGATAGCACTTCACTTCAGAAGTGCTGATAAATTAACTCGAATAATTTGTATAGTAAATTGGATATTTTATAATGACATTGTCTTTACATATATATATATATGCATAGGATAATTTCCTCCAAACTGACTACTGTTACATTACATACGATGTCAGTTTCGACGTAAGTGTTGTTATGAAACCATTGCGTGTATAATTAAATTTTGATACAAAGTTAGTTTTAATTGATTAGGATGTACGATGGACCAGTTCAAATGTCAGCGTGAAGCTTGTATAGATTTATACCGCATGTGTGATGGCAGTACTGACTGTAATCACCCTTATGACGAGGCTTATTGCAATGGTATGTATTAAAAGCACCATCAAAATATCAACTGTTATCATTTTATGTTTAGTGTGAAATAGTATTTATCACCAGCACCTACAAATATTCCAAATGATGGTTATTTTTCTAGGTTGTGGTGAAGGAAATTTTCAGTGTATGGACGGGCTGTATTGTGTTCCCGACGTGTTTGTGTGTGATCGTGGTATCGACTGCCGAGATGGCTCTGACGAGTATGGTCCGCAGTGTTCATGTAAGTGTTAATATACAGCATGTCACCGCAACTTTGTAATAATGTGTCCTACATCTACGAGGTCTCATTGGTTGGTTGGTACCACGTCCTGTTCGATTATCAGAGGATAGTTTGGCAATGCTGCGGTGAATACACGAACACAAGCATACCACTGAATGTATACTGCATTATTTCGCTGTAATCTAATTGAAATATTATTACAACTGAACACTATGACCTGATAATTCGGATCGGATGGGAATGCTTGCACACATATTAATCATATATATTCTGGTGATTTTAACTTTAAATATATTTTTTAATTGTTGCTATTACCAGGGTGCAGTGTAACTGAATTCACATGTGATGGGACTAAATGTATACCATTATCAGATGTTTGCAATGGTGTTAGTAACTGTGATGACAATGCTGATGAGATCGATTGTGGTATGTCGTTTTAATTATTGTTACCACTTTTGGTCATTTCAATAACTATTCCGGTCGTGTGTTTATTTCTGTTTGTTGTATCTATGTAGATTTGTAGCCAGTTACAGTATTTGTCGTATCTAGATTTCAAATCACCGAAGTTGTTTTCACATACAGATTAGCGTTCGGCATGCATATTAATAAAAACTAGTTTTTGTTCGTTTACATGTAATTTACACACTTTTCGTTTTGGTAGTCGATTCCTATAACACCTATTCTATGAGGGGTTTAGTTTCGAGGTCTATTCAGATAAACAACTTTGAAGAAACAGTCACATATATAACACATGTCAAGAAACTAAAGTCCACTCGTATACGCAATGAACAAGAAGTTCATCGTAATTGACTTATTGAGTTTCAGATCTCTTATTAAATGTTTATTAAATAAACAAAACTTTTCATGATTTAATATTCCGTTTCGTATGTCCTTAATTTGAATATTTGTGATCAGCGTATTACAAATCCCGCGAGATTTAAGTCCACCCGTACGATTAACTGTACGTAATAAACAAAACAACACAACACAACAGTCATCATTATTGATTGTTAGGTTTGTGATTATATGTTTATTAAATAAAGACCAAATCTAAACTTTTCCGTAATTCAATATTCTGCTTAACAATTACTGTCACATATATAACGAGATGATAATCACTGACATATACATCCACTAATCAAAATAGATTATTGTATAGGGATTTCAACAAAGTACAATGAACAAGGAATAATACACTAAATGAAATGCAATACAATATGAGATACGAATTTGATTTTTCACAGTAGCGTGGAATATTGCCAATTCAAAACTGTATTTAAAGTCCTACATTATAATGATCTAAGAATACATGTTCATACCCCTAGATCATGTGTGTGGCCCTAGTAAATATTATTGTGGCAATGGTTACTGTATTGGCAATGAGTGGGTCTGTGATACCGTCCTTGATTGTATGGATAACAGTGATGAGAATGGTTGTGAGTAAGTAATGCTATATTATATATGTTAACTATGAATTGTAAATGGGTAGAAATATAGATGTTCACATACAACGCAAATATAGATGTATTAAAGTAGCGAGAGGGGAAACATAATTTATAGTTTAATGGAGTTTAGGACTTTCCTCACCAGTTACTATGCATGCAGTTATGGCAATGTATATGTTTTCAGAAAGCTGAGATATAGCAGAATATGATCATGTATGTTTCGTATTGATATTTGCTCAGGGGATTAAGTTACGATCGTTCCCGTTAACCTCCTAAACGGAGAGTTTTTTTGCGGGATTGGCCGTTTCTCGGTGTTCCTTTTTTCTATGTATCTGATCTTTTCACTGTTGCTTTATAGGACAATGATCTTTGAGAATGCGTCTCGAAATGTGTATGTGTCCCATAGTTAGAGAGATAGAGCCTGTTGAACTTCATGGACTAAATTTTACGAACGTGTTTCTGTTCCCAAGGCCGTAACTCAACGTCGACGGCTCACATAAACGTCCATTAGACATCATATTTTAGCCCATTTTGTGGCGAATAGATTGTGTAATTTGTACATCGTTAGCGTAGAGAAAAGTGTTGAAAGATGACATCTTCAATAGTTATGATAGTCAAAAATTAGTTTCAGTAAAAATTCAATAAAACGTTTTTTTCGAATTTGGCAACAGATAAACAGCTAACTAATGACAAAATGTCTACCATTTCGATCATAATTTGTAAATATACAAGTATCTGATATGCGTGGAATGTTAGATTGTGAAAGATTGGTTGATTGTTTCCTAAAACGTGACAAAACTTAGCAGTTTCGTCGAAAGTGGGTGCTAACTTGAGCAAGATGGCGTACCGCGCAATTAATTTGTTCAAGTCCTTTTGTTATGTTGAACAGCGTCAACAGTACAATCGGTTCTCTAAACATAGGACGGGCCTTCATGACAGCATATATTTACTTACGTGATATACATGCCTTCAAGTACAGATATGTTTGCATTACTCTCAGCTTATGGAGTGTGTACCGTTTATCGGATT